GTAGTGCCAACATGATACTACTATAGCACTACCGCAAATGTGGTCCTCTAATTTTCGCTATTTTGCACTACTGTAGTACTATTTTGCACTATTTTAGCACTACTCATTTAGGGGAGACTCAAATAAGATGACAATCCTTTATTTATAGCTCATAGTTCTCAACTCAAGCATTACACACCTCTGTAGCTGCAAAATCACCATGATAGCTGACTTATATTTGAGGGCACAACTCAACATAGAACTTGTTATCATGTATAGGACTAGGCTGTCAGCACAGCATTCATACCATGAAGCATACTCTATAGCACACTCCATGTTATATACATAGTCCCAGACATTACACATATGCAAGCCTCAGCAGGTGAATCTGAAGGTGAGGTGTCACCACTTTGCCCAAGTCCAGCAGTGATAGATATATATGGTACTTGTAGAGAGGATCTATGTAAGCTCTGGTGGTGCAGTGGTATAGAGCACCCCTTTGGAATAGGAATACTATCTGAAAGTGGGGTTGGGGGTTCAAGACTAGGTGAGGACACTTTTTTATAATATTTTTTCCAGCACTTTAAATGCATCTGGGGCTTATAAACAGATGGTTTTGAGGTCATATTAAGCATTTCTACACTATTCAGAAATTATGGACCCACTCTATCCACTACTATCAACGTCTACTGTAGCACTATTTCCGTCTACTATAGTGCTACTTTGCACGAATTTGCATTTATAGTGCAAAATAGTGCAATTATTTTTGGGGACCTCTCGATTTTGCACTATTTTTCACTATTCAACTACTGTGTCTATCAAGAGCTAATTTGTACTGAATAGGTGTAATTTGCAAAGGTGGTTTTTACAGATGGGCGAGAACAGAAGTCTTGCAATATGGGACGTCAGTCGAGGTGCCCGAAAGGTGGCAACCCTCGAAGGGCACACCAAGGAAGTGACAAGCTGTGCCAGGTCGCCCGACGGCGCTCTGATCGCGTCCGTGTCTAGCCGGGAGGCAAATGTGCGGCTTTGGGACCCTCGGACATACCGGCTACTTCATCTGCGAATTGCCGAACAAGTATGATCTGATTGAAGATGTCCGCTTCTCCCCCGACGGACGCTGGCTCGTCTCGAGAGGGTTCAGTCACTGCGATATGTGGGATAAGACCGCTGTCATGGCGCACAAGAGCCTTCCGCAAAAGGAATATTCGCCCTGCTGCTCTGCTGCATTGAATCCTCAGAGCACATGTCTCGCCACTGGGCGTGACTCGGGTAGGGTTCGGATCTGGGACATACAGACGGAGGAGTACCTCTTCACCTTGGATAGGCACACGGACGAAGTTCTCGATCTAGCATTCTCACCCGATGGGACGAGTCTGCTGTCAGCATCGAAGGACAAGACAGTGAAGATATGGGATGCATCCAGCGGCGCCGTGATCCTATCGCTTAAAGGACACACCAAGGGCATCACAGCAGCATGCTTCTCTCCGTGCGGGAAGTACGTTGCGTCGGCATCACGCGACAAGAAGGTGCGGCTGTGGAAGAGGGACGACGGATCGTGTGTGGAGACGTTCTCGAAGCACGAGGCTTGTGTCAGGCACGTAGCGTTCTCCCCGGATGGAGAAATTCTATCGTATGGAGTGGATGATGGAACAGTCATTATGAGACGTATGCGCGATATATTCCCAGTAGAAGATGCGAACATGTAGCATGATGTTGATACAATCTTTTCCTCGAGGATGGGCCTACTATAGTGGGATGTTTTGGATCCTTTAGTACTGTCTCAACAATGAATGTTCCCTCGCCTCAAACTGCCATCGCATTGCGCTTTTCTGGCACACACAATAAATCACCTGCGACGTACTCATTCGCGCTCTTTCGAGCAGGTGAAGCCATCAGGTGTGAGGAAAGGGAAAAGAATTGAGGGCTGAGGAACGCTGCCCAGAGTATATGCAATCGTGTCCTGAGATTCAGAACGCACTGTCAGAGAGACGATGGACCAGAGGACCTGCTCTTTGTGACCGGTCCGAGCGTTCCGAGGGGTCCGGCAGATTGCGTAGATCTAGCGCTCCGATGCAATCAGACGTTGACGGTAAATCTACGCTCCTCCGCAACTAGTGTGCACTCTCCCGTGCGATTAGCTCTCATTTCAGCTTACTTGCCCCATGCATACACGGGGTCTTAGCTCTTTGAGACTTCTACGCCATCAATAACCACAGCATGGAGTTAGCAAATCTCTCTGCCGCTCACTGGCAAGCGCTCAACTCTCATCGACGTCGCTTCGCAGTTCGTGACCCAGATCGTTGAATGAAGAATGTTGCCGCGTGTTGCAGTGAAAGTGTGCGCCTCAACTATACGTCTTCTTCACGTACTTGGTAGTCTTGGGCACACTCAGTTCTCATGTCATATAGCGGCTTCATGCAGATCAATGTCAACAACATGTGCATCATATACTAGTTGAGCAGTGGAACACGTACGGGCCATCACTCTACGTCAAGGAGGGGATGGAACCGCGAGTCCGTGAGATGTCACAGGGAAAGAAAAAAGACGAGATTCATAGCGCAACTGTATATCTAGGAGATGAAACAGCGAGGAGGCTGATGAGAGAACAAGGAGTAGAAGCATAGCATGACAGACGACTGAGTGAAAGCAGGGAGTAGATGCATAGCACGACGAAAGACTGAGTGAAAGCAGGGGTGGACGAAGGGTGGATCAATGTAATACGGATGGACCATCAATCAATCTGACACAACGGGAATGTCTTTGAGCACTCGGACGCAAACAGATCCATCGTCCGATCCAGACGACAGCGTCACGCCGTCGGGCGAGAACACTACATGTGTTACTGCATCGCTGTGCTCTTCAAACGTATGCATATTCGTACCGTCCTTCCGACGCCACAGTCGCACAGTCTTGTCCGATGATGCCGATGCGATGTACAGGCCATCAGGGGAGAATGCTGCTGCATTGACCATGCCACCGTGACCCTGGAGTGTGACGATCCCCTCGCGGCTGAATGAGTCGCATATTCTCAGCGCCCCATAGCTGGAGCCGGAGAGGATTTGCTTCCCGTCATCTGAGAACGCTACAACGCCTACGGATCCGCCGTGTTCATGTAGCGCCAAGAGCTCCTCACCCGTCTCAACCTTCCAGATCCGCACGCTGTCATCCTCTGACGCTGTTGCAATACGGTTGTCCTCCTGATCGAAGACAGCAGTCCACACCATCCCGCTGTGGCCGACCAACGGCTTGTGCAACGCGCCCGTCTCCACGTTCCACACACGGCAGTTGTGGTCCACGTCGCCCGACGCGAGGTACTGGCCGTTGTGGGAGAGACCACGAAGGTGACCATCGCGTTGTGACCCTCAAACATGTGCAAGGTCTCGTACGTCTGTCCGTCCCAGATACTGACGGTCTTATCGTCTGAGCCCGACGCAAGCTTGGTGCCGTCCGGAGACCAGACTACGGTATGTACTGCCTGTGTGTGACCCACAAGCGTCGCGAGAGGCTCTCCACCATCCATGTCCCGCACCGTGATGCAGCCATCACCACCGGAGCACGCGAGCAATGCGCTACCGGGGGAGAACGCGAGGTGCAACACGATGCCTCCGTGTGACTCCCACTTGTGTACTGCTTCCTGACGCTTCGTATGCCACAAGATGATCGTCGCATCGTCTGACCTACTCGTAACCCACTTGCTGTCGGGGGAGACAGTGAGAGCGGTGATAGATCCGGTGTGGCGCTTAGCAGCAGACTCCCCTGCGGCCATTTCGGCCTTCCTGTGCTTCGCCGTCTGGGAATCGTCGTGATATTCCGTTTCCTTAGTTTGCTCCCACGAAGGGTCTACAAGGTCGAAGGTGGCCTGCTCTATCTTCAGGTCATCTAGAGTTGCTTGGGGCGACCCAGGCAGAGATTGTGCTATACAACGTCGGGGCGTCAACTAAGCTCCAGCCATCGATGATTCGCTTCGGCCCACCATTCTCGTCGCTAAGTCCGTATTCCGTAACTATTTGAATGGAGTTTTCTGAGTCAACTAGTTTGTCTAGCCAGGTTGGATCGACAGTCACTGTTCCTACTATGACAGGAGCATCGGCAAGACGCACAACTCCTGATGACGAAGGAGACTTTACCTCCACTCCCGTCTACCTCGACTTCAGGCTTGTACGCCTCTAAGCCGACGGGTATGTCTTCCGGAAGTCCAGCTCCCTGCTCGCTCAGGACTGGGTGAATAGTGGCCTATCACCCACTAGGTAAGTACTCACTCCAAGTATCGCAATGAGATCCCTATCCGATGCAATCGCCATATCTGCTTCCGAATGCTGTGTTCCTTGCTGAGAACCACAATGACTCAAAGACATGAGCACCATACCGAGATAATGTAGTCAAGCAAATGGGCCACTGGGTTATACGTTGTGTATGTCTGAAACTGCGATCAGCATAATTGCGATCAGCATAGAGTGACGGGTACAAAGTGTGTTCACTTACGGCTGCTGAAGGGCCCTCCATGATCTGCGTCTCATCATCTGAGTCTGCTTCACAACCGACTGGCTCGTTGCCTTCCAGGTCAGGTCCGCCGGGCGGAAGCTGGTGTGGGTCAGCAGCGGCTTTAATGACTCTGTCGAACCAGAGTCGCTTCTTCACTGTATAGTAGTTGAAAAAGAGACACTGATCCCTTTCCTGTCGCGTCGACTGTGCGGATAGATCAGTCTCCGAGTCCTGTCCACTTATGAGGGTACCAGCGCATTGTGCCTGCAACGGATCGGAGATCGGCCCACTGTTGTACCAGGCATATGACCAGTCTTGCTTGTCGATCGAGAAATTTAGATCGAAGCTCGCCGTGTTCTGCACTTTGACCGTCACCGATGCTTACTTCTTCTTCTGGCTTCCAACCCAAGGTGAGCTTGCCCACCTTGTTGTCTTCACCACTCCCACCACAAACCAGAGGTCCTCCTGTTCGATGTTATAGCCGGCCTCCCTAGCATACTCCAACGAAGTGAGTGCGCACATATGTGACGATGTGTCGTCTCCGTGAGACTTTCGTCTGCATCGCAGGAGGTTCTAGGACCAGAATGGCGCCTGTGTCTTGAGAACACGAGAATGACAGGCTGCCTCCGGCAGTCGCCAGAGAGGTGAGACTATGGTGTGTAGTCAGTCACGTCCAGAAATTAGCTGAAGGATTCAGATAGCTGCTGTACTTAAGACTTGCATCCCCGGAGACGGAGAGATTTGAGATATGGTGACTCATGACGTATGGTTTGAGAATAACAGGCCGAGGTTTCTTCTTGTCCATATTCTCCAGCTCGAAACATACGAAACTCTCCGGGACTCTACCCTGGTTGAACTTATCACCCTTCGCTCTCCCAGCCTTGAAAAGATGACAAAATGTCCCTTCGTCGACCCTTCCCACCGATCCAAGCTCGACCTCCCCCCGACCGTATTGTTCGTCTTCCTCAGGGTCTGCGTGCCAGAGCGGATACCCGTAAAATTGGAAGAGTGCCTTAGCGTAAGTTTCCGAAGGGGCGAGGTGGGAATCGGAGGGAGGCATGATGATACAGACGAGGGGGTTTCAGAGTCGAAGCTCGTCAGTGAAGCTACTTGAGGTTTCGAACGGCCTGTGAACCAAACCGGATGGCTTGACGACGGAGCGAAAATATCATTGGCCGGCTGATAAGCGCCTGGCGAACATTACCGATATTGTAATTGTATCAATCGTTCCTCCTTCGCCACATCCCTGCGCCCTCGCATGACTAGCACAAGTTGGGCTACTAGCCACAAGGCGAGCGGGATCATGAGTGGGCGAAAGAGCACACAATTTTGACCGCGACAGTGACCGGGATCCAGAGTCGCATTTGCTCTGTTCCTTGCAGTACCACGCAACACACCTGTGTCTACCTAGGCGCATAGTGGTAGGAAGGGAGAGCAGACTAGATCGCGAGCAGGTTCACGATCGCGCCGCAGTTATCTATACGACCGCCGACCGGTAGACAACCTGCACGGCTGCGTTCGCACTGTAATGAACTGTCTCTGAATCGCACGCTACTCATCCAGCATCGGCACGCTCCCAGCGGGCTGGTCATTCACAACGTTCTGGCAATCCTCCGATTCTAGCCCGAACCTTGGTGACCTAGATGAGTTCAACGACTCTCTCCAGGTTCTCAAAGAGTACGTACCTTCAATCTTGTAGGCTGGACGTACAGGTCCTTGACGCTCGCTTCATACACAGCCTAGCTCTCGGTTGAACAGTACATAATATTGATCTGTGAGAAGATTTGATAGCGCTACATCGGATTGTTCGTGTATGTCGTAGGATCGTACTGATACAAATGAAGGATCAATGACTCGAAGGTCTTAATCTTACACAACTTCATCGACTTTTGAACGGTGGATGCAGAATCCCTTCAAGATAGCGAGTGAGCAGCGACCCGGAAAAAATGTCAAGGTCTGAACTCACCGGAACGACCCACTCCTTGCAGCTGCAGCACACGCCGGCCCAGTCGTAGTTGCCCAGTTTCGCACTGCACTTCTTATTCGGGCAGATGATCTTGCCAGCCATATGGCCCTGCTCCAGGAAAGGTTCCATCCACTTCATCTGCGACGAACGTCAAGCACGTCAGCAACCACCCTCCTTCGTTTCTCACCGGCCGGCGAGATACAATCCCCGACATCATCGAATACTCACCGGTTCGACGAAGTATCCAGAACACTTTGGGTTCGCGAGGATGGGCGGACTGATTGACGCGAAATAGTTCGGACTCTTCACAGAAGCGAGTCCAGGACTCTGCGGCGCGGAGCGGGTAGGGGAGCTGCCGCCTGCGGGAGCAAGGGGGGTCATAGACAGACCGGCGGGAGGGCGGAGGGCGGCAAGCTTTGGATGCGCAGCGAGTTGCGCAGCGAGATCGGTCGGGTGGGCGAAGGAGTTTGAGAGGGAGATGGGAGGCCGCTGGGATGGCAGTGGTGTGACCTTGTCTGCGCTCTCCGCAGCAGCCTCCGTCGGAGGAAACTCCGTGTCGGCCTTTCCAGCAGTCGCAGACTCCGCGCCTGACGTTTTGGTCGGCCCTGCCTTTGCTTCTGGTGATGTGCTTGGGATGGGTTTGTCGTCGCTTACTGGCTCTGATTCAGATTGGGGCGGTTCCTCGTCGCTGGAGTCCTCGTCAAAAGCTGATTCGGATAGTAGGTCCGAGGCAGATCGCCCAACCGAAGCAGAGGCGCTATCAAGCTGAAGAAGCGTAGCCTGAACGGGTCGATTTTCGGCCAGTTCGCTGATGGAACCCAGGCGCGAGCGAGGATGAGACTCGTGAAGAGAGTTGCTGCGTGATAAGCCCGAGGAAGGGGCGGCAGGAGGACCTTGAACAAGCGGCTTTACACCGCCGGAGGACGACGCTCGTCGGGGAGCAGTTGCACCAGAGGCGAGCGGGCTCAGAGGTTTTGGATCGTTCATGGATGGTCTTCTTGAGTTAGCCGCAGAGAGAACAGCTGGGGTGGGCGGTCCGACCTGACCGTGATCGAGCATATGTTCTCGCGCGGCCAGTTCCTGTCTGATCTAATGTGAGATTACAGGGACCTCACTTCAGACCTTGCGCTCACCTGCACATCTTGCATCGTATTCGACGGCGTGGCGGAGGCACAGGAGTATCTGACGGTGTGTAGGGGAATTTCGCGAACATCTCTGTCTCAAACTCTCCGTCTCCATCTACCGGACATTAGTTCAATGTTGTGGATGAGATGTAAACGGACTCACTCATGACCTCATTCACAACACGCTCAAGGTAGAACAGACGCGTCTCTTTGTCTCGCTTTGAGACTTTGAAGGATGCCTGATGGAATATTTCGAGCTGACGCATGAACCCTTCATTTGGCCTGCATTTCCATAGACATCAGACTACATCCGAGCTAAAGCTACCGCCGGAAATGCAACGGAAGCACGCACTGGACATTTGGCCGCGCCTTTCTGATGACCTCTAGAGCACTTTCGGCATCCAAGCTTTCCGTGACCATGAGGTATGCAGCGACTATTGCGACGCTTCGGCCTGGGTCGAGGCGTTGGCTCGCCACGCAATGATGCAGGATTTAGACCACGTACTCATTCCAGCTTGACAGTGCACCAGCACTCCTTTTCCCTTGTCGAGTTCTGCCTGAATGAATGTGATAGCAGGGACGAAATGCTGTAGAATATCGGAACTGTCTGTGTCGTCTATGTTGATTTGGTGCCGCACGAAAGTCTGTTCTACAGTATGTCTGAAACGGGCTCACTGACACCAACGATGCAGACGTACCTCGTGAATAGAGACTCGCCCCCGCATCGCCGTCAGAACACTGCGAATGTTGTGTGCTCGGAGGGTCTCGGTGTCGAGCGCACTTGGGAGGTCGCCCACCCACAGATTGGGGACGATTTCGTTCATAGACATGGTGCTGCCTGCAAATTGCGTTCAAGATAGTGCAGCAGCTACAAGCAGAGCGGTCTGGGGGTGGTGGGAGAGACAGAGGGTCGGGAGTTCGCGAGAGAATAGGCTGCGGCACTACTGGGCGTCTAATGTATTTGATCCTTATACTTCGCATATGCTGCGGGTACCTCCTCATGGTGACCCTCTTTCCTTCGGCCTGTAGCATGAACGGTCCAGTACCTGGAGCTCCGCAAGAGATGCCAACAAAGCCACCAGCCGTATGTGAACCTATGATCCATGACGACGCTATACACTGACGTAGTCGCCACAAGGCTCCGGCCCCCGGTGGCACCCCACGCGTGTCCGCGGCGCTCATACACGGTGCTCAGCAGCTGTCTGACATCTTCGAGAGGCGCACCGCAGTGCTCAAGGCCCATTACGAGGAACGCATCCGAGCAATCACCGCCGAGCGTGACATATTGCTTGCGGCTACGCAGACCCAAGCGCGAGATACGGGGCCACACCCGGACGCATCGGAACTGGAGGCCCTTCGCGCGGAGCGTCTCACATGGCTACAGGAACGCGCTCAGCACGAGCAGCAACGCAAGCTCTGGGAGCAGGAGCGACAATCATGGGCTCTGGAAAGGGCGAAGCTGGGCGAGGAACGGGTGGCGAGGGACGCTGAACGCGTGCAGCGGGAGGAAACCGTTGCGCGGTTGACTCACGAGCGCGATCTAGTCCTTCAAGAGCGCGAACAACGCCGCAAAGCTCATCAGGACCTCCAAGACGAAATGGCGAGCCTGCGGCATGAGCTGCAGGTGAACAAGTCTGGCTACGGGGCGCTTCAAGAGCAGCTAGCTCTCAGAAACTCGTCGATGCTCGCTCTGGAGACGCGGGTACGGCAGCTCGAGGCTGAAAGGAGTGGTTTTTCTGGGCATGCGGGGTCGCCGACTGAGGTAAGTTCTCGCCTCTCACCACACGGGGACGCGGGCCTGTGTGGCGGAAGGCATAACAACTTGTGTGGCTGGACTACGTTGTAACCCAGACATGACGTTCCGTCGCACAGGCTAACGCACCCGTTGCGCCGCCGCACGACGATGCTGATGGAGTTGAAGGTCAACAAACTACCTTCGATCCATTAGATTTCACCCGGTCGCCGCTCCATTCCCCGGCGCGCAGCAGTACCCTCCTGACCACCGAGGGCACTATGTCGACTCTAGAGTCGCATTCTCCGCATCCGACGCCCATGCAGGTATGTTCGCCACCGCTGGTGCCGTTCCCATTCGACTCGACGCTCAACCTGTCGCCGACGTTCTCGCGCTCGCTTCCGCCACTGCAGCTAGATGCGCCCGTCCCGCAGTCGTCTACCATCACGTTGCGACTCGACACCCCGTCGTCTCCTGCGAAGTCGACGATCGGGGGGAGCGTGCACGGCGATGTGTTCATGGACGATGCTGCTGCGGGGCCTGTTTCAGTTTCGGGGTCAAGTAGCTCATTTCGATCGCGATCCTCGACTTCGGTCGTCGCCACACCATCGAGACGGCTAGTGATCAGGATCCCTCTTTCTAATGGAAATATCCGGAAGCCTCTGAAGCCTCTCCCTCCCCGATTCACCGAAGAGGAGAAGCTAGACGTTGTTCATGTCCCTCGCTTGCCCGAGTCCGATGACGATGACGACGGAACGGACACTGCCTCGAGTGATGATGAATCGGTAGAAGGCTTTTAGAAGGCACCGGACTTCTTATGGGCGAGCACACCTTTCGATTACTAGGATGGAGCCACGGCTTCCATCTAATTTCTAGTCTCCCACTTCATTCGGATTCTCTCTAGTCGTCACTCGCTATGTCTGCGTTATGCTGTTTCGTCACACTCCTATACTGCTGTTTGCTGCTCCTTCGCTATCTAAGATTAATCCACGTCTTTCCACTCTCGCGCACTTTCGAAGATTATCCTTAACACGTACGGACGAAGCTTCAGAGCCCAAGTGAGGTCCATGACTTACGGTAGCCTAGTACACTCGAATTTAACCACTGTGCCGGAATCCCGATGTTTTTGGTCACCAGACGGAGTTGGCTTAACCAAGAACGGTGAATCAACTTGAGGCCTAACACTGCCTTCCCACTGACATCGCAATTCAAGCTAGGGACCCATGAGCCTCGTTAATGAAAAGGCAAGCGCGTTTCTTAGTGTGACATCGACAGCGAGATGTCTAACTGACTACTATTATATTGCAGACATCCGACGCTCTCAAGAAAGCGCAGAGGTCCTTTGAGTCCTTCGTGATAGTATACGCTTCAAGTTCAACAGCGCTAGTGGGATGGCGCTAGCAACTTTGTCTAAAGAACCCGGAGTAGGCATTCAGCATCAAGGAGTTGATCGCATGCAACCACGAGGCTCTGGTTCCTTTCTTGTTAGGGTGAGTACTGGCCATGTTAGTGTACACGAGAGGCAAGGAGATGCTCCGACGAACAACATCCGGGCTCATTTTTGTAATGAAGGAAGTACACCGCGCTCGAAACGCGCCCGTCCTTCAAGCGTCTGACGTGCAAGTCTTGCAATCTCTCTGTGAATTCCATCGCATGTCCTGACGGTGCTTACACAGTTGGCAGGTTACTCGGCAGTACCGCTTGGCACATCCCGTAGTGTCGCAGTGTCAATCCGGCGACGTCGTGGTATATTATTGAGACATACTATGACTTGGAATACTTGGGAAACCTGTAGAGACAAATCAGTCGTGCGATGCCGCGCCTGATGCTACCTATGCTTCATTGGGTCTCCTTATGTGTAGCATGGTTCTCCCCTCTGTCATCCGTGGCATCATGATCTTGCTCTTCATCATATACGGACCAGAATTGCACTCCAGTTTGGATCTCTGGCCGCAGTGGCGATTGGCCATTAGCACTGCCTAATGAGACCGCAGCGGGTCACCAGTTTGTGTGACTCTTAAGATTCTTGGAAGCAGAAAAAACCCACGTTGGCTGTCCTAGATGTTGTCATTGGCTTGTCATAAGGGCAGATACAATAACCGCAGATGACGAGTATGTGCGAGGACCGCATCCCATCGGCTTGTAGGGTAGTCGAAAGGGAGGTGACCTTTTCTTGGCTAGTATCAGCTCAAGCAAGTGTATTCCTACTATTACTAAAATCTAGTGAATGGAGTTGAGATGTCCGTAAGCGACGTCACAATAGCCCCAGGAGGCAAAGCAACAAAAATAGAGCAGGAAAATTTCTGTCCCTCCCTCCAACCATCTCCTTTTTTCTCCTGCCAGAATCCTCAGTGTGCTCAACACCAGTTGACTCCCAGCGACCGCCCAGTAATTTTCTGGAAGCCCCCACCCCTCCCTTTGCTCCCTTACTGCACACAATACTATGGCTGCAACAACTGCTCGAGATATTGACATGGAGGGTTTATATTATGTTACCCAAGATCACCTTGAGACTGAGGACATACCTGGACTGGTCCTGCCAGTGCCACGGCCCAATCTCCCCTCCAATGTGGAGTCCTCAGGCCACAGCACTGCTACCAACAGTGTGAATACACAATATCACTGTCCACTGGGGACGGGAGACCTTGTCACCTTGACAACAAACAGGCTGTATGGAGAACGGGGCCCTGAGGGTTTGCTTCAGTGTCTTGAACAGGTGCGAAAAGCAGACTCTGAGCGGGATGAATTAGAAGTCAATGGGATGGTGGCTCCGGAGGTGAGTATATTCCAGTGAACTGTCTGCATCTGGGCTCAGTTTTCCTCGCCCAATTTTTCAAATAAGAACTGCTCTTCAACCAATTGCTCCCATCCAGGAGTCCCCTCCTCGGAGTCAACCCTCTTGGAGTCCGTTTACAAGGCGATGGCCAGCCTGGTCGATAGATCTCTTCCAGTCACGCAAGGAATGGAGGATGTCGTATTGTCTTCTTCTGGACAACAGAGTGACGTGGCCGTCATGACCAGGACGACACAGATGGAGCTCATGCGACTCAAGCTCCAACGCGATGCCGCCCTTGCATCGTACAAGCAGTGTATCACGGCTACCCAATGGTATGCAGTGGAGGTGGCGCGCCTTGATCAACTTTACATTCAAGCGCTAAGCCAAAGCCAGCAAGGGATGACAGAGGTAAGTATTTCTAGGAAATATGATAGTCTGAAGACCATTTGATTCAACGCCATATCTGACAGGAGCGTAACAAAACATATCGCCTCTTGTAAGCCCCGACAGGACGTTTCGATGTTTTCAGCTATCACGCTCAGACTGTGTATACGTATACCGATCCACTCACTCAGAGACGTTGTTTCCTTTTGCTGTGTCGAGTTGGCCTAGCGGGCATGAGAGCCATCACTACAACAGCTACAACCATGGTATAGTCAATTGCTCTAGCCAAAAAAAACACATAGTCATTTTGCAACATCGCCCCATCCTTGAGAGTCCTGAGGTCGATGCGTACACGAATTGTTCCTTCGCTGATATGACGAATACATAGACCCCCTAGCTTTACCAGGGCATAGATCGAAACCCGCTGTTGTTTGCTATGGACGCACCCGTAGTGAGCTAAGAACGATGCTGATGAGCGTGGGAGCAACAATGACTAGCAGAATCAGACTTACTGCTGAGTGTATCTGTTTGTGCACTAAACATAAATCTATAGAAGACGTGAACACCAGGCCTCAAGATGATATAGATTACAAGGAACGCACAGTCCAAGTATGACATTGCAGCATTATTCTGGTCCTCAACGAGCATGTCGCTGAATTCGATCTCACTCCCGTCCATGTTCTGACGGGTGAGCGTGAACCTCGGCGTATAGCCTCTTTGGGAGAAGCGATGCGCCAAGATATTGCGCACTTGTGTCGACAGCTGCGTCTGCAGGTGCGGGAGGTAGAGCTAAGCGCCTATCAGTGAGAGCCTGGCAAACAACACAATCGTTCAATGAAGACGCGTACCATCCGGGGGTCGACATTGAAGACCTCGTCAACGTCGAGTAGATCCTTCAACACCTGTGGTGACACACTGGACCCAACCCATAGCATCATCGAATCCTCATTGTCTATACGAGATTGTCAGCGTAGCGTCCTATACTACAGACGTTACGCACCGATGAGGTATACCCCGTGTGACTCCATGAACAGGTGACTGTCGCGCATGAGCGACGGTAAGTCGATCCGCCCGTTCCCATCCGGTAGCGCAATTTTGTCGTCAAGATCATGAACCGCAAGCATCCGGGGATAGAGGTGGTGAATGATGCTCCGTACGCTCATGGCGGAGATCTTATGCGCGTAATAATTCCGCACGTCCGCAGTCACATTCCGACCTGCACGCTCGAGGTCGGAACGACGGCACAGCGAGTCATGCTCATTTGAAACCGCGTACCTTTGAGGGGCTTTGTCTTCATCATGGCTAAAATGTACAACGGGAGGGACCGGAAGGCTTCCGGGAGAATGAGCTGGAAAGCCCGGTCAGCCACGGCTAGTGAAGGAAAACTCGTTGGCGCACTTGGGTTGGAGCGGCGGCCGCGGCGCAAAACTTCCGATAAGCGTAAAGGATCAGCGCACATCGCTCCGTCAGAGATTCCTGAATCTGAGTTATCCGAGTAGAATGCAGTTTGGAAATCGCTGCACGTCGGATACCTTCAGCCGCGAACGCCTCTGGAGGAGTAACAAAAGAAGCTCCTCACCTTCTCGAATGATGTACGACACAGCCGCATCCATATCGGCATACTGAAACACGTTACCAGCAAGAGAAACCACACGCAGTGCGAGGTTATGTACTCGCACGCGGCGCTCGCCGGTGACTGTAGTGTAGAGGATCGCGGACTGGAGGAAGGCGTATTGTCTGTCGTCCAGTCTGCTAGTATGCTCCAGCTTGACACAGATCGTCTTATCGGCATCCATCGTACCGAATTCCATGTCAGATGCAGGGCTTTCATAGAAGTTGCCGTATTGCGACCCCACCCGAAGACCTGTAAGCCGGGTGCCGGACGTCAGGGGTGCCGAGGCTGAGCAGTAGAGTTCAACTAACCGACAGAAGTCCGCACCCGCATTGAGCATGAATAAACAGTTGCACGAGAAACCAGACGTCTGAACTGCGATGACAGCACCAGTCCGTCTCGACCGGCATCGAATCTCGGATGAAAGTACATGTCTCCGCCGCTCAGGGTCGCCACTAGGCCTGATACAGTTTGATTTGAGCTGAAATCTGGCAATTGCATATAGTTAGACCCTACCTATAGAAGCGATATCTATCGGACGGCTCATCCCAAGGAAGAGGTTCACACCAATCCCCTCCGAGGCACATTGTTCGCCGAGGTCTTTCCATGACTCGTCGCGAGGCTCGAACAGTGTCCGCTCCTTTTCCGTGCCGTAAAGAGTAGATTCGTCTTGAAGAGGCTGCAGGGCTCCAACGCCTATCATGGGGAGTGTTGCGGCGAAAGCTACGACTTGACCGCCTCGGCCGGCCTGCGGAACATTTAGTTTACAGCAAATTTATACAGTCATATGAGACAATTACAAGAGCAGCAAGACTGGCTGACAAGGCAGAACCAAGAGCGCTTTCTATCTCGAAGATTTGCTCGTGTCGTGAGGGCAAAGCGGAAAGGAGATTATAGATTGCGTCCCTGGTGACAAAATTCAAGATTTGATTTGAGTGTAATAGAGCGCTCATACCTGGACTCGACTGGGTTGACAAATAATCCCTCAATCGAGGGTAGGAATACCTCGTCAACATCCGGAACGACTAGCATGGGGGACTGTCCGTCTATGGCTGACTAACAGGAGATAGGTCATTCCGCGCCGAGGGGGATAATACAGGGAGAAGCGTACAGAAAGGTCATAGAACTGTAATGCCCTATCAAAAGTCAGGATAGCAACGCGACTTGAAGGAGGAAAGCATGGTGGAATGGTATCGTCACGTCCGTAGAGCAATTCGATTAGCACGGTGCAGGCCGTCTGTAGAAACCCTGAGCGGACCGCTTCTTGAGAGACGTCAAAGGCAAAGACATAGTCCATATGAGTTGGAGATCGTCGGCTAGTAGAAGGCTCAGGCAGCATAGAATAGTAGAGGGGTCGAATCGTGGGGGGAGGATGAGGTGTCCAGTACTCCTGAGGAACAGCGAAGTCGACAGTACCCTTGTTCAGTTCCGGTCGTTGCAGATGGTCAAGCCGAAGCATGTTTGCGTCGAGATTACAGAAGTACTCCGGTGCGACTGTTCGCACCTCGTCGTCAGGAGGTTGCAGCAGAAGAGTAGTAGAAGGAAGGGATAGCATACCTTCTGATTCGTGACCACACAGATTGCACCTCCATCTCGTCCCGTTCGCACCCCAGGTGCACCATGGATTGATATATCCTCTACAACGCTCACATCGCGCAGGGCCAATATCACCTGTCTCTACCAAAGGTACAGGCTCTTCTCTCGGGTCCTGGTCGGCGAATGGCTGGATGACGGCAGCAAGGGGAATCTCGCAATCCGACGCTAGTCTGGAAGAACTAGGCAAGTTCCATGTCGACATACGAATGTATCTTGGAGAGGTATTGCCTACCCAGACAACCACGCGTGAGCTCTTTCAGCTACTAGCGGTTGATATGAGTGCGCGTACCTTGGTCAATGGCCACAAAGTCCGTTGTGGACAGGGGAGGGTGCTTCCCTGGCAGAGTCATATACGCCTGTTCCTCCCATTTCTCCTTGTCAGCCTCTATGGTGTCGATGGGCGAGGGGATCTGATTCGGGTCTATGGCCGCGCGCAGGCCTTTGTACGGCGTCCCGGCGCTATGCGGTGGCTGAGGGATGTGTGACCTAGTGCTGTGGGCATACATGAAGCATAAAGATATCCAAGATGGTGACGAGTAAGCAAAGCGAGATGACTTGGAAGCAGAGAAAGCCGCGCTCGCTGCGGCTGACGATGAGCTCGACAGTGGGCGCGGCGCCGAGCTCGAGGCTGCCCACTCCCGGATCGCCAGATTAGGTCGTTTGTTTGGCAATAGCCTTGGATCCAAACAACTCTTACGCTGTCCCCGAGTATGGAAGGTTTATTTTTAGAGCTTGCTTTCCTTTCGGTCCAGATCGTTTCTCTCTGCTCGTCCTCATCACATTCTGTGTAGGATGAGTTTAATATCGGATATGGACGACTTCTTGAGTGATACTGCTGCCCTTTTTGGCGATGTCCCGCACGACGATGGGACGATCCGATATGGACCTCTCGTCCTGACAGTGGCGCCGAAGGTGCGCAAGCTTCTCCGAGTGCTGTCTACTAAGTCCTCATCTTGGCTGCACGAGCAGGAAGGCAAGGTAAGGCTCAAGTACTGTTTCAAGTGTCCGGACTAGGATCACTGAATGACAACAGGCCAATACGCTCCTGGCAGATCATTTATTCTCTCCATCCTTGCTCCTTGCGGAACTCATCGAGCGTGGTCTGATTTCACTCGAAAGGAAAACAGGTCAGACCTTGGCTTCTCCTCGCATTGTATGATTGAACAGGCATACTTTCAGTTGTGGAGCTTGGAGCTGGGTGTGCTCTGCCCTCTCTCCTGTCCGCAACGTTAATCAACTCGCCATCCCTCCTGGTGATCACCGACTATCCCGATCAAGGGATTATCAGGAACCTCACTGAGAACGTTGCGCGAAACAGGGCGCACTATCAGGAAGCCTGCTCCGTGAACACGGCGGGATATGAGTGGGGCCAGGACGCCAGCCCCCTCTTGTACGTTTCAGAAGCCTACGAGCGAACAAACTGATCAACTGCCATCCAGACGTCTCCTGAGAGAAGGTGCATCCGACCACTCTGATGGCTTCGATGTGGTCATCATGTCAGACTTGTTGCATTTCGACAGCTCGCATGACGTCCTCCTCCAATCCTTGATATCTTTGCTACGAAGAACCTCATCGGCCCGGGCCTACATCGCAGCAGGCAAATACACACCACCGCATGTGTGCGACCACTTCGTGCAGGAGGCGCGACGAGCGGGCATAGTGATGGATGAGGGTGAGGTAGAAGGCGTTTGGCGAGGATCACTGGAGGTGTCGGGCGGCGGTCTGGATCGCGAACAACTCGGCGTGAGGAAGAGTATGTGTAGATGGTGGATAGGGCGATGGGAGAATCCAGCTGCGAAGTAAATGTACTACTTGTTGTACATTATCCAGGGAACGATCACTTGCAATGACCTCCCAAACAGGTATGCGCATGGCGAGATGGTATGAAGCGTACCGCTCAGACTACATGTCATCCACACTCCACTCATAACTCTCTGCGCCACGCCGTCGTCGCTCGTTCTGCTTCTGAAAGTATTTCTTCTCAAACCCATTGCTACGATCTGGAGCGGCCCCTCAAAATACTGAGGGTGACGAGAGCAACGAGAAGACTGACCGACGCCGTCCCACCTATAACCTGGCTTTATGCCGAAACGATTTGGAGGTGGAGGAGGACCCGTGTATTCGGGTTTCCGAGGCCCCTTCGATCTCTTCTTCTGTGAACAGGGTACGACCTGTCAGTTATCCCGCAATTCGCAGCAAGGCAGAATACTCACCGTCAAAAACTGCGCTGCCGGATCATTCCAACGATCCTGCGCCTTCAACTCCTCGTTGAGTTCGGCGTCATCCGCTGTCCTCGCAAACGCCTGAGAGCGCATCTTCTCTAGTTCCTGTTTCTGCTTCACAGCTTCGTCTCGTTGTACAAGACCTTTGCCCCATTCCATCTTCGCTGCCTCCTTCTCCTCCCGCTCCCGCTTCAGCCGCGCAGCCTCAGCTCGTGCCGCCGCCATGTCCACCTTCCGCCCCGACGAATCACGGTATATGGTCTCTTGAGCGGCGGCTTGCTCCGCTGCATCATCCGCAGACTTCCTCGTGCTCTGCTTGGCGTTCTTGGATAGCTTCTTCTTCAGCTGCTCAGACGTGAGCAGGCCGCCCTTGAAGGGCTCCTCGGTCTCCACAACCTGCGGCTGCTCGTCCGCAGCGGGCGGAGGCGTCTTGCTGCCACCCTCGCCCTCCCGTACCGTCTGCCACCCCGACTCCGGGTCCGTTCGCTGCCGTTTCTTGAATCTCCTGTCCTCCGCAACCACCGGCTCTGACATGTCGTCATCTTCATCTTGCGGCTCTGCATTCCAGCCTGTCAGGTCGTCATCCTTGATGAAGGACGCGCTCGCGCTTGTCGAGACGGACGTCGCTGTAGCCTTGCGTTTCTTCTTCTTCGTCGGCTGAACTTTGGAGAGAATGGCGTCCGCTTTCGGACCAGACATGTACTTCTCCGCAAGATACGCCTTCAGAGACATGATGAAGGGCGAGCAGGACGTTAGGAAGAGTATTATGTAGTCCGAGACTCCGAGTGGCACTGGTATTGTTCGGAGCGCCTGATCGCTTTCCGAATTGGATCACACGACCCTGCCCTAAACTCACCGCCAGATAAAATTGCGCCTCTTCGCATTGTGGTTTCTTCAGAACATACTCAGCTAGGATCTATTTTATAGGTACTAACTCGAGTCTCGCATGTTTACACATGCCACATCCTTCAAATCCAGTCGATGACACGATTGCCCACTCGTATAACCGAGAACACGGCCGCTTCGTGCGGTCTCGAGGACGTTTGGATCGCGCATCTCCTTCCTCGCTTGGGTGGAGGGGTATCGCGAACCAGCGAGTTGGGCATTAGTCTGATGGATCTATCCATTTGTTTTGTTGTATCTGGGACTTACAATGAATGATTTCTTGACATATCCTTCGGTTCTCGTATGCCTTCGTACAATAGTTTCTTGTTGCGTATGTATATGAGAGATGCACTCAGCACTCGGTATGATCATCGGAGTGTGCCCGACTGTCGTCTGAAACGCAAGCCGGGCTTGCAGCTGCTCACGCTAACGTCCGTGCCTGCGGTATCGCGACGTCAGCATTCCAAGTCATACATGTCTCGGTGCAACAGCGGGAAGGCACGGGTCTAAGGTTCACTGGTCCATGTCTGTCTTCGGTGTCTCTATGTAGTCCATACAGGCACTACGAATCTGTCCGGGCAGTTCGTGATGATTAACTATCTATCTCGCCGAAGAGCAGGTACAGGACCCTGTATGATCCCAGTCCTATGTTTAAGATCCAATCTTCCTGCTCACTAATATGTGACTCTATTTGTTTCATAGTTTAGACTTGTGTTACTTGACATTCACAGCAGTTGCTTGAGCGACGGATGACCGCAGAGCCGGCTACGGATTGTGCGCGAATCCGGATCCGGGCCGCCGTCGGTCCCTGACCTCATCGCCTCTGGCGCTTACTGGGTGCGACCCTTTGCGCTGAGCCACATCGATCCGACAACTCCCTCTTCATTAATGCTCGAGCCGCGAGCCATGGCGTCGCCTTCGTTTGAGGACCTTGCTTCATGGGATGATCTCAACATCGTCTCACCAGACAATGTAGATGATCCCGAGGACCCCAGAAATGTGTACGCGTGGCAGTCATCCTTCCCACGCCGTGTTACAGAGACCTTCGGAAGCTGCCCGAAGAGATTGAGCAACTCGATCAATCAATCGCCGAGCTTGAGGCCAAGATTGCTACCCTTAGGCTGCAACGGGCCAAGTTACTCGACCAACGCGCACTCATACGTCGCTTGTCCCCGGATTTACTATCTCGTATCTTCGAACTTGGCGTGCACGAATCTGCCGACCTCTTGCCAAACCTTAGTCTCGTCTCACATCACTGGCGCAGTGTTGTGCTATCCAGCCCGACTCTATGGACCTACATCATTCTCGATAGTAATTGGAGCTGGCGAATACCGTCCTTTCTCCGTCGGATGCGAGCACACCTCCAGCGCTCCCGGGCGAGTAAACTCTTTATCGATATCGACTTCCGCCATGTCGACAGCCTGCTTGACACCGAGACCATATTGCTGGAGTTGAAGCCCCATCTTTGGAGGTGCTACTCGTATAACGTCTCTGTTCCGGACTGGTTCAGGATGCGCAAGATACAGGAACACTCCTCAACTATGGGTCCCGCTTTAGAGGACCTCTATTTGCGAGTCGACTCTTCAGATTCGGAGTACCAAGAACCTTTCAGCGTCTTTTCCCAACCCTGTCCTCGTTTGGTCTATGCCATGCTAGAACACATGCCGATGGAGTGCCTCGGGGTCCCAACGTCTTCGCTACGTCAGTTCCATCTACTGCGCGACGCCCGGTGCCACTCGCCCGCAAAGATTGGGTATCCGTTCAACCAACTCATGAGCATCTTGACTTCCTCCCCCATCAAGTGTTTTTCGGTCCGTTTCGCATTTTTCACTATCGACACCACCGAGGACGTCTTTAGAGCTACACCGACCCCGCAGGTGCTGCCGAGCCTTGAGGGCCTCTCGTTTGACGCAGTCGACGCGGGAAGCGTCTCCTTATTCCTCGAGTCCACCTCTCTTCCGGCCCTGCAGCTTCTCTCCGTAAACTCCGGAGTCGATTTGCAGTGGCTCACGCAAATATCACTCACATCATCTCGTTTTCCTGCCCTCCGCCTGCTTGATCTATGCAATTGTCTCTTCACCGGTCCTTCCCTCGTTCCCCTTGTCCGCGCGCTGCACCACCTCCCGCAACTTACCGGCCTCGGGATCTCGACTCCAGCGACGGGTGTGGTCGGAACGCACATCTTTGACATGCTTGCTGCTGGACCCGACACACTTGGTGAATGGCTCCTCCCCCGGCTCGAAGCCATCGGCGTCCAGAACTGCGAAGACGTTACAGGACACGAGCTCTTACGAGTCGTGACCGCCCGTCGGGGCGCCGCGGCACCAGAAGTGTCAAATATAGTATTCCTGAAAATTACGCAGTGCTTGCTGGACTCGGAGGTCCTAGAGCGGCTCACGCAGAAGGTAGATACTGTACTCACGGTAGATACTGTACGCACGGTCTGATATTCCGGACTCGTTTCTTGCTCTATTTGTTCGATGACTTCCATCTTCATCCGCATTTCGTATCCCTCTTACACATATCACGTTACTTCGGGGCTCGGGAATGAGGTGGTGCTTTCCAATCACCCCAGCTTGCGTGCTTCCTCGGACTTTAATCTCTCAAATCGGACGCTCGTTCTTGACATCATTCCGTACTTCTCACGAGACCCACGAAGGGCCCGGGCATCGTGGTGCGTTTCCCTATTCCCATCTCATTTTGTTTCTTGCCTCTGACGATCCCGAGCAAGCGATGATGCAACGAAACCTCCATGAGTTTAATACGCTCAACATAGGCCAAACTCCCGGACCGGACGCAACTGCGCCCACGCAACTATGTCGTGGATTTTACACGATAGCCGATAGTCTCACTGCCCGTCCTCAGCGTCCTCGGACCAACGTGTCACTATTCCAACTCAGGCGAAGCGTCGCGTCGGAAAACCCACCAATCATCATCAAAAGACCTGCGGTTTGACGGCGAATGGCAGAGCAAATCCAACGAGATGTGTAGGAGGCTCAGGCCACATTGTCAAAGCGTTCTCAATTGTGTATGCTGAAACGCTGCATAACGCAGGACCAATCGGCTTCCCAAAGTGAGCACGTTCTCGCGCAGTGCACGGTTTTGCCCGCCAAAGCCGTCGAGTCACGCTAGTCATCAGACGGCAACACCCGCTGAAGTGAGACATGCGAGGTCTGCCCCAGCGGGTGTGGTTCAGCTCAGGTTCTCTCTCGGTCAAGGCGGGTTTCCGGGATGAGGCTGCGCGCGCTCGACGGGAACTCCTAGAGAACCTGATGCTATCCCACTCTCTCGGGCGCCCGATGTGCAAAGCAGCATGTAGACTTCGCGCGTAGCTCTCGCGCGCTCCCAATGGCGCGAGGTGGCTGACTGACGGCACTGCAGGCGGGAGGCGAATACAGATGCTCGCGGGCGGACCGGATTGCTTCGTCTCATCTGTTCCGCCGCGCACTCTGCGCGCGCCAGGGGGCTATTCATTCAGCCACAGTGCTGTGGTATTAGGCGTCGAGGAACCCTAGGCGGGATCGAGATGGAAACACCATTGCCATCTTTCAAATCTAATCTCGCACATCGAATCTTGCGATGGGCTGCCAGAGGCTCGATCACCCGGGAGTCTGCGTCGCGCGGCTCGGCGAGGGACCATTCGAATGTCAGCGTGGCGGTGCCGCGGTCGGAAGTGCCCCTTTTACAACAAACGTCGTCGCCGAGGACTGGAAAACGAATGATCGCCCTCGCGGGCAGTTATAAATCTGCAGGCTGGGGCCGACTAACCCTCCGACATCTCCTCCGCTTTCTTGAGTCCTCGGACTCATGCCTCTCATGCCTCCTACGACTGTGGTCACAACGCCGCGGTCGTCCGATGGGACGCACATCTACGCAGAGGCGGTGGGCAATCCCCGCAATCCCCATATCGTCTTCTTGCACGAAGCAACGCTCTGTGGGAAGGTCTTTGATGAGCTCTTCCAGGACTCCCGGCTGACCGAGCATCTTTACATGGTGGGTTGCTTTTGCGGAAATATCAACATCCCACCCAACACTACTTCCGTAGGTGCGGTACGATCTCCGTTGTCACGGCAGGAGTGGGACCGTGAGAGGTGCCACTGGACAGACCTCAATTTTGTATGCAGACGATTTTGTGGCTGTCATGAGCTCCTTCGGTCTGCAAAGACCAATAGTCGTCGCCTGGTATGTCCTCGTTCCTTTACGAACATCTCTATGTGGCCTGATTGTTGTCTCCACACGTAGGGGGTTGGGTGGTGCGTTGGAATGTTTGTCGCCACTCCACCAGAGCAACGTTAACGTGCTGCGCGCTACCATCAGCCGCAGTTGTCGCTGATATATGCGCCCACGTTAGCCCACCCCCCATCGCGGGCGTCGTGTTCGTCTCGCCCTTGCCATTCCTGGGAACGACCATGACGCAGACTGCGACGCCGCGGATGGTACAGGTTGTCCAAACGCTTGGCACGTCCCGAGACGCTGTTGAACTAGGCAGGGCCAAGACCGAGTTCGTCGACGGGCTGTTCTCAGGGCCCGCGCGTCGAATACCTGACACGACCAAGGCTGCTTGGCTCGGGCGCAGCATTTCCCAGGACCCGGAGTCGACAAATAACGCGATCTGTCGCACACACGATCCCACGAAGCTGCTCGAAGCTGGCCGGCGGGGACTCCCGCTCATGGTTCTCATCGGGTCCGAGGACGCGCTCGTGAACAGCCTCGCGGTGGTGCGCGAGCTCCGGCGGCATTTCCGCAACTTGGAGGCGTACTCCATCGGAGGCAGCTCCCATGCACTATTCATTGACAGGAAAGACGAGTTCATACAGCATCTGCTGATGTTCGTGGGCCGTCTGGCGGTGAGTCCCCATCATTGAGCGCTCCACCAGTCGGCAACATGGTTGCATATGCATTCTAGATAGCTGATACACTTTGGGGCGGGTTTGCAGGTTATGACACTCATGCACTGAGAGGTCGCAGTGTTCAATAGCACGGTGCGACGACTATGCTTCTTTGGGTTAACTTATGGGCAGCTTGTCGCCGCCATCTGCTTCGATTCACATCAGCCTGCTTTACATATACTTCACGACCCACACGATGACACGACGAGGGCTCCTTGTCGTAGTAGGTAGATGTACGCTGATGTATGATATCCGGTACTGTATAGATCGTGCTATAATGTTGTATCCCTCCCTCGCTCCATTGATGGAGTTACCAGTCTACCAATAGACTTCAGGGCAGCGGCCTTTCTCGGTCATTAGACCCGATGTGAGAGTGTGCCAAACTCGACGTCGCGGCGATCCTTTTAGGTGCTCCTTGGGTGGGGGAGGCAGGCGCTGCTTGAAAGCTGAGATTGTGAACATTGCTGCGTAGACGCGCCAGCTGCGCAGAATGGGAGCTCAACGGTTGTCTGATGTGCTTAGTTGTGGTGTGTAGCAGCATACAGAGGCGCGGTGCACGATCTGCTCGTCATAGTTCACCGTTTTCGGTTATATGAGAGACGGGCTGCTCACGGTGAGGCTGGCGACGAATGGACAGGGTTGGGGAGATCCCAGTCCGTGTGGCAGGCATGGATCACAATATACTCGGCGTTTGTTCCTCAGTTACTGATATCCTCGGACCGGATGCGGTATGGATTGGCCACACCGGGGCACACACGGCGTACTGACCTGCCATGGTATGGCGTGACGGGTTGCAGATCGCCGACTCAAATACACTGCTACGTGATACGTACACGTCATTTTTTGACTTTGATCGTAGACTTCATACCGCAACACTAGCTCCACACGACCTGGTCTGATCATGCGCTCGGCGCAACGCCGCGACTCCTCCAGTATGTGCCATTAGGGTACTCGTACTCGTTGATGCTCTTCTCGTGCATCTCGATGCTGCGGAAACGTCAAGGTGCAATCAGGCTCGATGTTAGTCAGAAATATGGATGCAGTTGGTTGCATGGACGAACCTGTAACCCTCCTGCGTGTTGTCGGGGACGTTGTAACGACCGTTCTTGTTGATCGAGCATGGGTACAAGAAGTGTTCGTGCAGGTGGTCGACGAATTCCAGGACGTTGCGCTCCATTGTCCCAGAGATGGCGATGTAGTCGATCAAACTGTCAAAGACCATCCATGTTTAGTGCCAAGCTAATGCCATCAATGGTAGCAGACGCAGAGACACTCGCCTCAAGTGGATAACGTATTCGCACAAACCGACTCCCCCCGCGTGCGGACAGACTGGGACGCCGAACCTGTCGTATCACTGAGCAAGAGCCGCTTCCTACGGACGGGGATGTAGAATGCGCACTTGGCAGCCAACAGAAGAACGCTGAGAACCTCGCTGACACCAGCGAGCCGGCAAGAGTCGATCTGAACAACGTCGATGGCGTTCGCTTGAAGCAGCTGCTTGAAGACTATGCGATTGTGGGCGTGTTCGCCCGTTGCGACACCGATCCCATATGGCTTCAATGCCTTGCGTACAGCGGCGTGACCGAGGATGTCATCGGGAGCCGTAGGCTCTTCGATGAACCTAGCGATCAGAAACAGAGTACAGATGAACGCCGAGGAGACACTGCACGCAGCATACGGGCTCACCATGGCTTGATCTCCGCGAGGCTCTTGACGTAGTCAATCGCCACTGGCACGTCCCAGACCTGATTCGCGTCAATCATGAGCACGCTGCCAGTCGGCCCAGCATTCTTTCCAGCCAAATCGGGCCCGTTAGGGTCCCTAGGCTTGACTCCCGCGGGCAGGTACTGCGGGTCGTCGATGATGGATCGGATGATCTTGCCCCGGCGGAGGTCGGACTCGCGGTTGGCGCCGACCTTCATCTTGAAGTGGTTGAAACCTTGCTCGACCGCCTCGCGCGTGAGACGGGCGACCTTCTCGTCGCTATACCCCAGCCAACCCGCGGAGGTGACATACGCCGGGTAGCCGAGTTCGCGCACCTTGGCCTCGCGCTCCGCCCGGGACGCCGCCTTCTCCTGGAGAATCGCCAGCGCCTCCTCGCGCGTGAGCGCGTCTGTGATGTAGCGGAATGCGGTGGCGTTCACGATCTCCTCCTGATGCGAGAGGGCGCGAGAGGGCGCGCGTGAGTGCTACGTACTGGGAGGGAGGAACGGAGCGCGCGAAGCAGTGTGAATGTGCGTACCGGAGTGAAGTCGACAACGAGCTTCCACAAGGGCTTGCCACGGGCGCGGGCGAACATATCCCACAGCGCGTTGTCCACCGCGCCAAGCGCGATATGGATTACTCCCTTTTCCGGACCGATCCTGGAGCGACGCTATCAGGTACCGCCCCAGGGACAGCGATAGGAATGGGTTAAGACTCACCACCGAAGCTGGGAGTCTGCCGAAAGGTAGTCCCAGGTCTTGCCCATGTTTGCAAATAACTCTTCAACATCCTTTCCAACCAAGCGTTTCGCCAGCTCTCGGATCGCAGCGCATACGATGTCATTACCACGGCCGATAGTGAACGTCATCCCGTAGCCGGTAAGGTCCGAATCTGTGTAGAGCTTGACATACGCTGACGAGTAGTCGCAGTCTGTGTTCATGGCATCTGTCCCATCGCCGCTAAGCGATGTTGGGAAGCGGATGTCTGGGGAGGGGAGCAATGCCTGTAAAGACGCTGCCTCCGCGAAATGGATTAGGACTGGGTGACGCACCATGGGTCTTGTATCCAGTGATCTTGGGCGACATCCTGGCGCTTTCTGACTCAGCTGCAGGTGAAGCAAGGCTGGAGAAGGAGAAGGTGCGGCATGACCGTCATGGGTGCTCCTTATAAGACACCTTGCCAGCCTCGACGCTCTCGGGAGAGCTTCATCGCGCGGGAATCCGGACCGTCCGTCAACCCGGTCCGCCAGCAGCCGCCCGACGCCCGCCACGTCCATTGGCGGGCGAGGCTCATTTTGCCCCACTCACCTGTCCACTCCTGCTGCTCTCATATCTCAGGAGATATTCGCCCCTACCGGATCATGCTGCCCGCCCTCCCCGACAAACGGGTCAGCGTGCCGCGGTCGGCCCGGTGGCTCGTCCCCGACTAAACTTCCGTTCTCCAACCGCTCCTCCGTTGCTCTTCATGTCATTACAATTCTCCTCAGGCCGCGACTGTGAGCTCCTGTCTCTGTTGGGAGTCGGAGCTCACAGTGTAGTATCTGGAGATGCGTGGCGCTTCATTCGGAACCAGAATGTCCACTTATCCTCCGCAGCTTCCAGCCTGTCGTCCCCCCAGTAGAATGACAACTGTCGTCCGAATGTCCATGCATCCCGGTCTATGTGCAAGACATCAACACAATCAGATGTGAGTGCTTGTAGTAAGAAATCCGGGCACTGACGAGCATGAATGGTGTAGCGTGGGTCGTCGAATACAATGTCATCTTGAACAGGTTGCTCTAGATGTGCGGTGACGAGACGCAGGATGAGGTCCTACATTGCCAAAAAATCCGTTCTCTGCGCGTTCTGTAGCACGGGAGATGCATACACTCAGGTCATGTCGCACTAAATAGTACGTCGTGATTGTATCTATCGCTTGTGGCCTAGAACATGCAGTACTTGTCAGCTAGCAGACGATATTGGTGATGGACTAGCTCACCTCTCCGCCTTGACCGTGATTTGCACGACGTGAGACCCCCTGGACCTTGTGTCATCTTGATGCAGAAAAACGACGATCGTGTCGTTCAAGGGGAACAATACTTTGTGCATATATGCGCCTGTCAGTCGCGATGAGAGAAGGAGATGGATGGAGAGACAAGGCAAGGTGTTCTGGGTGGGCATGAACCCTGGTCGTTGCACAACTCCATGTCATCATAGAAACTGTCCAGCTGCCCGATTGGGAGGCGTTGTTACTATAGCTGGCTATCAATCATCAAGGTTATTCGCTTGTTACGTGGTTAGTTCGGCTACTTACCGATTGATCAGTTCGTATAGTCCTACTTTTATCGTCGGAACGTCCTGCACATGGCCTGTGGGTTCAACGAGTAGGGCCTGTCCACTCGGGAGCATATTTCCAAGTCGCCTCGCGCCAAGAACATGTCGGTCCTCGAATCCTTGCTCCTACCATATGACAAGTCTCCAGTCGATGCGCACGATCTCCCACACCTATGTTGCGATACATTCCACCCGTACGTTGTTCTTCCGCGCTAACAGACCACTTGTTCTCACGTAGGTGCGTTCCATGCCACGCGTATTCGATATCAGCTACGCCGACCTTCATGATTGTGCACTGATTGGCCGCTTTGACGACGATAGAAGCCATTTCGTGACAATAAAAGCCTGGCTATATGTGTCCTCAGCTTCCGATCAGATCCTCGGGAAGGGTTTGGGAGAAACTTAACTGAACACACCCACGACACCTCTTCGGACGATCCCATGACCGAGGTTGGGGACGACGACACATCCATCCCCAGGTACGCTCCCGAGCTGTGTATTATTCTTGGACGACACGATGCGCTATCGGAACAGAGTCCATATGCTACCTGTCGCCCAAAGACGTACAAGACTGAGGGTACCGGAGAGCCTCAATGGACTGTACGATCCGCACCAACACCGATGAGTGCAAGAGAAGAACGTGACTGGATTGCAATAGATAAAAACCACATAGTTTCGACAGAACGTCCGCACCACACGGCGTGCAACCACAATGTTCCCCCGGTCGCTCCAGCTAACTTTCATATCGAGGAGTCTTCTCCTTCTCGCCATCATCGGACTCTCCTGCACGAAGTCGAACGCTGCTTCGCTCCACGGCGCGAACTCCCCCGCTACCGTTTCTCCGGTCTCTCAAGCAACCCCGCTGTTCGCCCGTCAATGTGGTACTGCCGACGCCTGGCCGAAGGGTCCCGGAAGTGCGCTCGTCCCGCAGGCTCCCACCTCGGAGCTGCGGTCCATGCTCGCGCGGATCGATCCCAGCCGCGTCGAGTCCATCATCAGCAAGCTCGTCTCCTTCGGCACGCGCCACACGCTCTCGAACCAGACAGATCCCGTGCGCGGAATCGGCGCGGCTCGCGACTGGCTCGCGGCCGAGTTCCGTAGCATCGCAGCGGGCGCGGCCAAGGGCACGAACGTGACCATCACCGTCCCGAGCTACATCCAGCAACCGACTGGGGAGATTTTGTTCGCGGTCAACATCAGCGACATCGTCGCGACGATCCAAGGCGCGTCCGACCCGAACAGGGTCTACGTCATCTCGGGGCACTACGACTCGCGCGTGACGAGCATCGACAACTTCACGGACGATGCGCCTGGGGCGGACGATGATGCGTCGGGCGTCGCGGTCGTCATGGAGCTATTGCGCGTTATGGTTCAGCGTCCGCCGCCCCCTGCGACGATCGTCCTCACAGCCGTGGCTGGGGAAGAGCAGGGACTGTTTGGCTCGGACTTCCTCGCGCAGACGCTTTTTGACGCAGGGGCGGACGTGCAGGGCATGTTCACGAACGACATCGTCGGGAGCGCAAAAGGGGACGACGGCGTCGTCGATCCGTTCAGCTTCCGCCTCTTTGCCCAGGGAATGCCGACCACGGACACCCCGTCCCAGGCCGCGACGCGCGAGTCCATCGGAGGAGAGAACGACAGCCCGGCACGTGAACTCGCAAGGTTCACAAAGGAAGTCGCGACGAACGACGCGACAGGCATGAACGGTGCGCCCCTTCTCCTCGATACGTCCTTCGAGCGCATCTGACGTCGTCGCGCCCAGTGCGCGTCATATACCGCGAGGACCGCTTCTTGCGCGGTGGTGACCACGAGCCGTTCCTCGAGCGCGGGTTCCCGGCCGCGCGGTTCACTGAACCGCACGAGAACTTCGCGCATCAGCACCAGGACGTACGGGTCGACCCTGTCACGGGGCAGCAGTTCGGCGACCTGATCGAGTTCTGCGATTTCGACTTCATCGTGCGCGCAGCCCGTGTCAACGGCGCGGCGCTCTGGTCGCTCGCGCAAGCCCCTGGGACGCCGAAGAACGTGACGATCGACACCAGCGTGCTGACGAACAACAGCACGCTCGAGTGGACGATTGGCCAGGACGAGGGTCTGGCGGGGTACGAGGTCGTGTGGCGGGCGACGGATGCACCACAGTGGACGAACGTGATCCCTGTGGGATTGGTGAGCAAAGTGACGGTGTTGTTGTCGAAGGACAATGTGGTGTTTGGGGTGCGCGCTGTGGGAAAGAATGGGTATCATAGCCCGGCTGCGTTCCCTTTCCCGAGCACCTGATGACGCTCGTCGCACGAAAAGGGCGTAGTGGAAGGAGATACAGGGAAGTGAGGGCTTCAAGAACAAAATATGATAGGACTCTGCATGAATCGTTGCTAGTCAGAAGATGGGCAACATGTCTATACTGCAACTTACGTAGCGCATGTGCGTATTCTGTCGGTTGGGCGCACGTGGTTGTGGTATGATTGACAGATCCGCGCCATGTGAAGGAGAGTAAAGTTGTCGCCTCGGTTCTCGTGACGACGGAATAGATGCTATCGCAGAAGTTGGAGAAACTTGGACCTACAACTGCAAGCCAAGAGTGCATTACAGATCGGTGGCGAAGGAAGAACGAAGAGTGTCAAGCTGAGTGCTGACCCGACCTTAGATCCCACCAAGGCTTGACCTGGTAGACGCATCCAGACGGCAGCGTAGGTCTGCAAAGTTCCATCACATTGACCAGCTCGAGAGGTGTCATAGAGGGAGGTGCCGAGCGCAACCAGACTGTGACCGCCTGAAGACGTGAGAAAGCCTTCTTTGTCAAGATATTGTCCAGTCCAGCTTGGAAGTCGACCTCGAAAGCATGGAGGTCTTCAGCAGTAGGGATATGCAGATCAACCGAGAGGCATGTGAGAGCTGCAGGCGAGATCCTTTGACCCAGTAGGAGTGCGAAGCTGTCCCAAGTTCCAGAGCCTACGTCTCTAACGTACAGGGACCGAAGACACGTGTTACTTGACAAATTTACACCGTCGTCTGCGGGGACAAGCAAAAATTAGGTGTGTATAGAGACGAGATCCGGGAACTTACTCTGACTGCAGTGGCGAAGCGAGATCTCGAAGTGCTCTAGAGAGGGACCCAGACTCTCAGCTAGCCTCTCGACGGCGGGCATGTCGTATGCATTCAGGACACCTCTGCTACAAAGACTAAGGTCGCGAATACTGTGAGCCGAGGGCGTGCAGAGGATCCAATCCACCAGAGTAGTAACGTCGCCTTCGTTTCGTGCATTGAACCAGAGCTGTTCTAGGAGCGGTCCGTGAAGTGCGAGATCTGAGGAGTCCCCACAAGAGCGCTTCCATTCGACACCCTCGATGATCAGTCGGATGACGTGTGGGAAGGCGCAGACAAGGGTTTGGAGGTGTGGAAAGGACTGGAAGGTGCCGTTCGATATCGTCAACGTCGTAAGAGATGCGTAGCGGTGTCGGGGGATACTATCGCTCGGAATGACAGGGTGCATATGCGCTTGCAACTGCATCAGAACGAGGTAGCGGAGATGCAAGAGAATCAAGGAGAATCTGTCAAAGAAAGTGTGAATCCACGGCTCATTTCTATCATCACATAATTGTAATGAATAAAAATATGGAGCTAAGAACTCGACGCTGCCCATACACGCCAAGTGATTGAACTTAGCGGGAGTGATAGCAACGTCGTAGAGCAGGTTCAACCGACTGGCTGGGAGCAACTCCCGACCACTGAGAGCGCAGCGACAGAGCGTCGCACGGTCGTCCACGAGAGAGATTATGGTATGAACAACGTTCCGTGGTAGGCGAGAATGCATCTTGAGTGGTCTCGAGTGTGAAGGGATGACTACCGTCAGGAGCACCTTCGTCGATCGTAATATAGTGGAATTCGGGGCGCTCGGGAGCTCGCCGGACACGTTTCTAGGGCAGTGTATCCGACTGTCCTAGGATTTCGAAGCGAGGCTCCTGGAATTCGGTTCAGTCTCCGTTATCGGAAGTCAGGAGACTGTAGATGAGCTCATTTGTGCGCGGCCTTTCGATCAGACAAGTGCTTAATGCTCCATTGAGTCTAAACAAGGGGGTGAACAGCGGTCCGTCATTCAACCACCTGCCGTGTGGTCGAGAAGTCTAGAAAGGGCCCTTCAAGACCGTAATGACGCTGCAGATAAAGCGCATGCTCCAACCTGGTGACATAGATGGGTGTGTGAACATCGCCCTGAGTGTGGCCGGTGTGGGACCTTAATGCAAAGGTCGAATTTGTAACTACGCTGGTGAAGTTGAGATTTGGAAAAGACCTGTTCGAATCAGTATCAGAAAGTATACGAGAAATACTGAAAAGGCTATTCAGAACCTATCTGTTGAATAGTAACCAGTCGGAGGTGATCGGCACGACAATGATGTCGTTTCCGGTCGGATGAAGCGTGGCTACCGGCGGCCACCCGTAGTTCTATGAGACTCACAAGGGGGTCCCTTGCATGCCTGGTATTAGAGAAGACGCTTAACCGGTCCGGAGTTATGATCGAGCGACGCATACTGAGCACTCCCGGGGCGACTATTAGGGATCAACGCGACCGCAGGAAGTGTTCCTCTAGAAAGCTTGACCTTGAATCGGTTGAGTCGGGAGTCGTCTCGGGAGTGAACTTGTATCTCTGACCCTCTGACCTGACATACATCGGGCCCAATCATGGAGGACTGCACGATGAGATCTAGTCGGTGCAGACTTGGTACAGAACGCTGGCGACTGCTAGTGGGCGGCGAGCACCATTCGAGATCGATCATGCAGTCTGTCATAATGTACTTAGTGGCGAGCCGCGTATGAAGGGTCAATACAGTTATCGATATATTCAACCAGATATCGCCAAACGACTTACCATCGATCCTACATTGTTGATGAAAGCCGGTGGAGAACTCGTGGCGCCAATTTCCAGGATTCCAAGACCTGCTTGCCGGGATGACAGTATGCGAAGAGCATATGGAGACGACAGGGAGTGCCAGTGCGTGTCAAACGAGTAGACGGGAACCCGTCAGAACAAATGCACGCAGGGAGAAGAGGAGCCGGGACATGCGTACGTGTTCAATTTGAGAGCCGAAGCGTTGGGTAATCTGGATGTTTGTCAACGAGCGCCCAAGCTAACTCCTGGCTATTGCGTTCAGCCGCCGCAGTACTTTCTTTTCAACAAGCGCTCATCACATGTGTGGGGAGACTCCAATATGTTCGCCTGGGAGGTGAGGATAGCAGATACATACACGTCGCTATCGCCTTTCGATGTGATCGACTCGGATGCCGGAAATGCTGCACGCCGGCGCGTGGTCACTCGGATCTTACTGGAGGGACGTGCAACATGTGCCGCCATGATCGGAGGAAGACTCCGAAGGTGTGCTACTGTAGGCCGGATCCTTTGGACAGGCGGTAGGCTGCGCACGGGTGAACTTGATAGCAGGCAACAGTCAGCCACCCTCCGAATCTTAGAGGCTTTTGTTCGAAAAGACCGCGTCTTCACGAAATCTTTCCCTCAGGCTTGCACCTCCCTTTGTACATCAAGGTTATGACTGAAGGAGCTGTTGCGAATGAAAGACGCACGGCTGACATTTGAACGTCCTTGGAGGAAAACCTTCGAAGAACAGGCCTTGAAGATACGGAGAGCAATGACATATCGGCAGCAATCTGAGCAGCCTGACGAGTCAGCAAATGCCTGTAGTTGTCAATAGGGAAAGCGAAATTGCCGTAGTGTGACATATTACTGTGATTATCATGGTATATAGTCGCCCTTCGGAAGTCACCCGTCCTTCGCCTAGTAACTTCTTTGTCTCACTACTTTGATAGCGCGGGACGTTTTGCAGCTCTGTAGGCGTCACAGCTTTGTCGGTCCAGACATGAGAATGCCGGGCCGGTACTACTGTACCTGGGGCTGTATGACCTTTCTCTCGAATCCTGTCGCGTTCTATACTAGTCTATTATACTAGTCTATCCCTCTGTCTGTAGATAGATTCCGACTCGGATTCCTTGTGTCGTTATAGTAATGTGCCATTTTCCGCTGGTCCTCGGCTTGCAGTGAGCAGATTCTAGTCTGGGTCCGAGTTTGCGGAGTACTCAGAGGCGTCTGTTCTGTGGCCAGGCGCTCAGCACAGTGCTGTGAGTGTGAATGGCTTTATCGCTGAAATGGAAGACATGTGAACAAATCGCGGAAGGGATAGGATAAGAGCGGCAAGATGAGTAAATAACCGCAAGGTTTTCTCGGATCTTCCGACGTCAGCAAAGCATCGTAACCTATTGGTCCATCCGATCCTTCAGAGATTTGAGCCCAGGATTAGAGCAGGAATCACGACGAAATGTAACTGCATCAGTTTGATGGGCACGTAACTGGTATGGAAGAAGAGCCGACGATCCATGATTCTGCTTCTTGAATTCGAGAAATGCTCCTCGTGGTGGACTGGACGTTCCGGCTGGACTCCGACGTTACAGAGCACCATCCTATCTCTGCCGATGACCAAGGATAATGAAACTACATATGTTTTCCGTCATACCCAGAGGACAAACCGTGACTGACTAGCCGCAGCACTCGCCCGCGCTTCAGGAGGCTTTCGCGAGCCAATCGCTTTTTCTCGATCATGTGAGCGTCATTATGTGCCTAGGTGCGGCGAAGACCTAGCTAGGCGGTGAGGGAAAAGGTTCAAGCTTACTAGAGATGCGTCTACGCACCAAGGCTGGTGTGGCACCATTCTTGGCCCAGCATTTCGCAGACAACCGCGATATGTTGCATCACTTTTCCATGGAACGTTTCATCGGCACGCGCAGGCATATCACGCCATACACCGTCTGGCGGTTTGGGCGCGATCTGTCCCCTGGCGTGGGGATTATGGACACGTTGGCGACCTGCTCATGAGCAGAACAATGGGATGATGTAACTTCAGTTGATACGAACCTGGTGGACAATACAGACAGTGATTGAATCACAGCGCTCTGGAAACGGCAATATCATGGCTCCGATGCTGCGGGTCGTCGGATGCAGCAGAGACTGCCGCACAGAGTGGCACAATACGTTGTGAATCTATGCATATCCTACATTCGGTTTTGAGTGCCTATTACGGACTTGGTCATATCATGAATGGCCCTTCTCATGGAGTGGGAGATATCGACAGGCAAGAAGAGCGTGGACTGTCATATTTCGCTCATACACGAGGCATTGAGCTCAAACTTACTCGGCATAGATGGCATTAGAGGTATCACAAGCGCAACCTCCTTGCATTAGATGTGGTTTGCATGCCGGAGCATGCACTTCGGCAGCAGAACATCGATGATCTATGTGAGAGAAAACGTGCTCCCGACTTCGTCGGCCAGGCTTATCCTACAATCAGATATGTGAGCCGATCTCCCGGACATGTAGAGAGGAGCCCAGGTGATCACCGGAAGGCACTTTCCTGTTAGTCTGAAGCTTCGAGTGGTAACAGCTCGGGAGGCAACGCGTCTATGCGAGATTCTTCAGAATAGGTACTGGAATGATTTTATGGGCGTTCTACTAGTACCAGATCCCTTTCGACCAGGCTCGAACCCAACGTGTGCATGAACAAAGACTACGAATCGTGTATTAGCCCACTCGGCCCAAGGACTATCAGCTCTCAGGCCTCAGGCTTCGTATTCCCAACTTGATGGGATCCTGGGATTGCGAGCCAAAACGTAACTCGGAAAGTGTATTCGCAAGATTGGGTTTGTGCCGCAGTCAACGTCGACCTGAAGGGCATCCTGCTACAGACTTCAAGTCAGGAATAGTGGTATTGGAGTGAATGGGCAGTGAAAGATCGGAGTCTTGCTCAATGAAGAAGCGTAGGAGGTAGTAGCATGAATCCGCTATGTAGGGTTACGAGTGGTCTAGACTCCGGGCTCACCTCAGCTGCCACTCGAGTCAGACCGTGGGGTGAGGACCAGCGCTAATTCGGGATGAACCGGGACCATCCAGAAATCAGATACTACACAGTCGGCGGTCACTTTCATCTTGACATAGCCATCATCTTACAGATGCATCACAACGAATATGACTCGACACCGGGACTGAGTGTCTACTAGCACTCTCAAAGCGAACCTGAGGAGAACAGTATATGGAAAGTAAGCCGCCATTCAGGATGAACTTGCGCTTTCGGGCGAGTGTGAACTTCAGACTGCGGTGTTCTAGATCGTCATCCTACGAGGGCAGTCCCGCAGTGGTTGTGCCGAGCGTATTCAGTCTCCGTGAGGGGACTATACTATGCAACAGGAATAGGACTGGCCACAATATGATCGAGTCTATCATACGGAAACTCGATTCCCTCAGCAATCGGATATTAGTCTCGTTGTCATGTATGGATCCCGTGATGCCCCTTTGAGAGGGGAGACGATACGCCGTGGACCTACTAGTATGTATAAGATGAATGGCGCACGGACTGTGAGTTGCCAATGCGACTATATCCTAGTTTGTGGGTGTTATGCATTTAGAATCGCAGTATATTTGGGAAATACTTGGGTGGACTATGCAAAGTGACGAGATCATTGTCACCTGACACATTCCTTGGAGCGAGACCCGCAGCTCGATGTCACGGCGAGGCCCTGACGCTCAATCTGCTTTCTAGAATTCTGGCTCGACGTCAGGTCTTAGAGACTTGTAACGAGACACGGAAATCGCTTCGTACCGGGCCTATAATCTGCACTGAAGCAAGATGCCCTTCGTGAAACACTCCCTGAATGCTTCAACGCGACTGTCAACAGACAGTATCGTTGTGTGAGACGATCGTCAGATCCTTTTCGGCTTCGACTTGCCAAAAATGGAGAGAGACACAATTTACGTCTACGGTGACATGGCTGTACAACACGCCATGAAAGATGGCAGACATAATTGCGAACTGCAATGTGTTAGAGAGAAAACTCACGCATCAAGTTATCCTCATCTCCCTCTATGCCCCTAGCTGAGTCGCACATTGTGAGCCTTCCCGCGGCGCTCCGAAGGACAGCGTTGGGGCTAATCCTAGCGTGCTTTAACGTAACGTGAGCAAAGGCGATCGACGTCATCACGCACAGGCAACGAGCTATAGGTTCATCATTGAACATCCAGAACACTGAGAATGTAGTCTGGGGAAAGAGAAACATCAGACAAGCTTATCGCTGCGAAAGCGAACTGCGAATATAAGTCACCTTCATGACCACTGCACCGACATCGTCCGTGGATTCGAGGCAACATCATTGGCTCCTGCAAATCCATTGAGATTCAGCACAACCCGTGACGTAAAAGCTTACAGTTAGGGTCGCACAAATCAATGTGTGGGTTTGCTGTAGTCCGGGACTTCCGTAATCGATACCGCAGATCTGGTCCGCGGGTAAGCATAGTGGTGCTAGACACAGGTGATGAGATGACATATATGGCGACAACCAACTTACTTGCAAAGCGGTGGAGATCATGGGGTCGAACCTGGCTTGGAGAGTACACGTACCACTGACCGGCCCCAAGTTGTCCCCTATAGGAATTCTCCAACCCGTATTCGGTGAGTTCATTGCACTACAGGCAAGTATATCGGCTATACAAACAAGCTCCGATGCCAGTCGGCTCTACGCCTATCCTACCGCCTTCGATGATCGAGGATCGCAGGTTGGGTAAGTGGATCTCTGGGAGAAATCCGCACCTACTCCACGTCTATGAGCCATCGGCGGATCCCCCTGAGGGGCTCCGGTACGGGCTCTGCGTTACGCACTGAGAGACTGGTGGCGTCTGCTAACCGGCCTGCGCGGTCTGAGTATCACCGCATGAGTATCGCTCGCTCGAGACGAGGGTTATAACTCGACGCTATACGTACCACTATTCACGATATCTACTGTGACGTACGCTACGCAGTTGCACCCGTGATCCTAGCACCATGTGAAGATGAGCGTCCAGATAGACTCAGAATCAGTCGCACTTATATCTCTCGCCCATCGTCAGCCACGAATGCCATTTGTCCATAGGCGTGATCAGCACCTCAGCGCCCACGGACCAGTCGTCGACTCGGAGTATCATCCAAGAAGAGACCCTCGACGATGGGGTGCCAAGGTGGCAGAAGACCCTTGCGTCGGGAGCATCTAAAGTCCGACCCCTAAAGTCCGACCCCCTCGCATTCAACCATGGTTCCCGCGGCAGAAGACGTACACGCACCGGTGGATACGACAGACATGATTCGAGCTAGCGAGAAGACTAATCCGATATCGTATGAGGGGATCCTGCTAACTGCGACGACCAGGAGTTCGGCGTTCTCGTACCTATTCCAGTGTTCTGGTTCTGCTACGCAGATTGAGCGGAGTTGCTTCGTTATGATTGGAGCGAGAAAGCTAGTTGTGGACAACTTGCCTCGTCTACGTGCTGCATCGAGTCACCACGCCACCGCCACAATGGTTGTCGGGCGCTCGTCCCCATTAGGGATGTCTCAGAACGTCGTCGGCCGCTGGGAGACGCAAACGCTTACCCCAGCCAGTGGTTGCACTGGAATATCCTCCGATAAGGCGTATAGATAGTGATGGATGAAGAGCTGAATCTGACCATTTCGCCAGCGGCACCATAATATACGAAGTGGCAACTCGCGTTGAACACGGCTTTATAAAACAGATATTGTCACTGGCGTCTTACAGGACTAGTCGTAGTAGACGGCCCAGCTCGGGCAAGAAGTCTGACATGGAGTCTCTGAGTTCATTGGCTTCTTGCCTCGAAGGTACACAGTTCATCGGCCCGGTTACGATGCCACGTCGGAGCTCATCAAAGCACGATGGCTGACAGCGCGGACAGAACCCTCGTGACATCGCCGCCGAGCCCCCCATTCTGGATCATTTACCGCAGCATGTAAATGTCCTCGTGTTATCCACAGAACCCTAAATGCCCGTCCATACGTTCGTGGTATGCTATACATATGCACGCCGTGAATTGGACTATTCAATGTATGAAATCACGGGCTCACCAAAAAACAAAGTGTGGCCGCCGCGTCGTTGTTTCGGGTTGCATAGCACAAGAAGAGCCTAACGACGAGGATAGAAGGTCAAAAGAATCGTCCGAACAGAAACGCAGAACAAGGTCGGCGCGGAGCCCACACGATGACCGTCCTTCGCCGCTTAGTGGAAGGCTGGGTGACTGTCTGAGGGCGATGGACGGAAGGCAGCACGCAATCTGTCATCCAGGGTGCCTGGTACATATCAGATCGCGCATGCGACGCTGCGAATGACGGGACGAGAAAGCACCAGATCGCGCTGGGGTGACGAACCTACCATCTATATCAGCGGCTTCCAGTTGGTCGGCCGGTATGCGCCAGCGCGGTGCGCCAGGGTGGATGATATTGGGTCGCGATCGTGAGGTGTCTGGCAAAGAATAAGCCTTGAACCGCTGCGCTGTCGTAGGAGCGGGGTTTGTTAGATACGAAGCATGCTTCACGGGTTGGAGAATAGCCATCGTACTCCAAGCTCCTCCTGTCGCGCGACGTAGCCACATGACATTATTTTACGACTCCATACGGATAGTAAGTCGTGCGGTGAGCATGTGAGGATGGGGGACATGATAACCCACCGAAAACCACATCCAGGCAGCTTGTTTCCGGTCTCAGCGCGAACCATTACGGGCAGCGCCGCTCCAGAGTTCTCGGAAGCGATGTCCCGCGAAGGTGTAACGACGCAATGGAAGCTAGGCACGTTCTCAGCAGATCCCTGCATACGGTCGTGGGTCAGCAGACTCCTCATGCGAACCGACACAGAAGCGCTTCACCTTCCCTCCCCGAAGATAGGCGGAGCCGAATCACCAACCATACCCGCTGGGGCCACGGAACGGAATAGCAAGACACGGCGATGATATGGAGAGTCTCCCCAATGTAGGGACTGTGGTGCCGACGGCGAACGACCTCGGCACCAATCGCTCCGATGGTTTGGTCCAGCCGTGACATAGGCGCTGGTCCGTCTTGCACAGCGTAGCTGGTCAGCTAGTTAGCAACTTTACCTCCGGTGTATATTCTTTGCAAGGGGATGTTGGTGTCGCGTATCACCTTGCGGATCCCTTCGAGAAGTCTCTCGGCGCGATTCTACACTCATAGTTGTGCACGACTACCTTCAAGTCGTGGGAGTGAAGGACTGTACGCAGCTCGCAACAGGAGTTGCGAAGACGTAAAACGACCCATGCTATCGCGCTCCGGAAGAGCCAGTGGCAAGCAAGCCGTAGACATGACGTCGAGAGGATGCTGATTTCCCAGATGTCAGCATGGTTCTGCGCGGGCCGAGGTCCTGTGCTGACATGCAGCCGGGAACCTAGAGACACCCTGTGTGCTGCCACAGACGCTGAAATGCGGGCCTCAGACCCCAAAATTTCAGTGCACTCTCTGTCCCGGTGAGGCACCGCTTCACGCCGCCTGTGTGGATACGATTCAGCTGAAGACTTCGCTCAGACTCGAGGACAACGTCAATCGTCACTGAAATTGGGTTTACCTGCAGTAGGAGACCATCTGTCAGGAACCTAGACCATCGCGCCGTGGGTGAGTACCCCGTGGTGGCTTGCTTCAAACCTTGTTGTAGGCCCATACTCGTGTGCGCAGAGCGGTGCTGTGGGGTTAGGACTGCTCTTAACAGCTGCCTTAGGAAAGCTTGCCTGAGGATCGTGTGGCTCGGTTCCAAATTGATATTTAGGGCCCTGACTAGATGTCCCTCCATCGTCTGCCATGGTCTACCGACGGCAGAAAGGGACCCGAAGATGAAAGCCGATGACTGTCAGCAGTGGAATCCCGAGGATCAGAGCGGAACGAATTGCCGACGTTGTAAGGAGAGCTTTGACAGATTATATCACCGCCGACCGGTTGATCAGCTCAGCCAACGTTTTCCAGACTGGTTTCACGATGAGAGCACATGCGTAGTACAGCCAAGAGCCGCAAGTGAAACGTGAGCTGCATCATCGTCTAGCGGCCACGACTGCTTCCGACGGGCGGTTTACGTTTCGCTAAATATAATGATTCGTTACGACACGAATTTCACCCCATTGTTTGTGTGGCGCAGCGCGTGCACTTGGAGTCTACTCAATCATATCAGTTTAGTACTTAGGCCCTCGACGACTGACAGCGAGGGAGAGCACGAACGTGTGGTTCCATCGGACAGCTGGCCGCAGGATAGTGTACTTGGTGACGAGTTCGAGACGTCATCCGCCCGGAAAGCCCGAAGTATCCAACCTCCGACAAGCGCCAGGACGAGACGTTAGTAGCCCCCAAGGGATGGAGAGAAGTGAGGGAGAGCACGAACCACATGCCCGGTGTCACATCAAGAAATGGAAGAGACCGCGGTTGGATGCTCCACTCCACTCGATCGCCCCGCCGTCCTCTCGGGCGCGATTCGCGTCCAAGCCCAGCGCCCCGAGACTATCACACTAACGGCTCGTCTAGCTGCTTGCACGACAGCGGCTCTGCACCGCTCTAGCCGCTGTGCCCACTCGAATCGTTGGAAGCCCGCAGTCACGTTCCGACCCGATGCCGTAGCGTGGATAGCTATGCCGAGAGCAAGCTTGCGGCTTGCCCGTATCTAAGGACGCACACTCAGATGTATCGGTGCCACTGCGAAACGTTGATGCACCGAGCCCCAATTCTGATTGGTCAGCAAATGTGCATTGTCTTCGGAATACGATGGGCGAAGTCGAAGTGCACACCCCGAACCTCCACATGCCAACGCTCTCCCGCTCGCGAAGTGTAGTCCGGGCGTAGTATAGCCGGAGAAAGACACCAAGGCGATGCAGTCGCCGCGGAGGCCCGGGGTGCCACGGTCTGAGCTGGAGCGCGATGATTGCATCTCCGACGGAGGGAAGATATCGCTCCATCTCAACCGTACCTGCCGTGCGCTAGGAGCCTGAGATGAACGAGATAACCAAAAGCTAGACTGACAGGCGCATACCTCTGCGCAAGTACGAGGACGAACCAATGGAGCCTTTGCCGTGTTCCTGGCCGCCCCCTTGACGGCTCACTCGTCCCGGGCGCGCGTCCGCGATTTCGCTCGCATCTCTAGCCGAGTCCGTGCGAGTCGCCCGTCCCGAATTCGGGGCGAGTACTTTGACCCGCCCCCGAGCGAGCAGCGCACATGGGTCCATAGGTACAGCTACACCATTGGATCGCCCGAGGAGTGCGTACACACGCTCCTGGCCCAGCTCAGTCTACGAAGCGTCTCGGGCTGCACAGTGGCACGCGTGCGCGAGGGCCCGCATAATACCCTGGACGTCCGCCCTGCTGGCGGAAATGGAGGATTTAGCAGCACCCTGAACCTAGTCATGACGTCGAACACGCACGGACAGCCTGCCCTGCACACAATGACTGTGACCATCGGGGCGAGCGTGCGTTCTCGGGCAGCCGGCAGCCTGGCCTGGAGGACACCTTCCTTCCCTCAGACCACGTCAGAATCTACCGTAATGCCCGCCTTCCGGGCGAGCACCCCAAGACGAGCACCCACCACACACTGCGCCCTACCCGGGCTGAGGTGTGCCCACCCGCCTGCGCACTCGGGAGCGAACAGCACGACCGCGTGCGCGGCGAAGCCAAGTACTGGCACGGACTAGGTTACCCAATAAGCGCGGGGCGCGTGCGATCGGTATGCCGGGGCGGAGCAGACGCTTCTGCCGCATACTGTGCTGTTGGGGCGACGCTTCGCGCTGCGAATCGACGCGCTGCGAACCGCGGGCAGGGTTCGTACGGCACTCGATGCTTCGCGGGTGCGGCTAGTGCGGCGCTTCGCGCAGGATATGAATATGGATGTCGATGGAGGATGGATGGGGAGCGGGGACAGTTCGTCTTTTGGCATGGTCCAGGCGCGTCCGGAGGTTCTGGCAGAGTCGGCTGCGTTCGGTTGGGCAAATTAGCGGTCGAGGACCTGGGGAGACGGGATGGACGGTGGACGGTAGCGGCAGTGGACGTGCCCGCGGATGACGGAGGCTCGCCTGGCTCGTTCGGAACGTGGGGCGTGAGCTG